GTTTGTTTGGTGCCTTGAATGGAGGTGAGGGGGGAGGTGTAGAGGCAGGTGTAGCACTTCCTGCAGTTGCAGGGAAAGGTGCTGGGGAGTGGTGGGGTTAGTGGGGAGTGTGGAGCGGACGAGGGAGTCACGGAGAGAATGGTCCCTTCAAAAGGCAGATAGGGGTGGGGAGGGAAATATATCTTTGGTTGTGGAGTCAGATTGTAGGTGGCGGAAGTAGCAGAACATGATACGTTGGTTAGTTAGAAGAGTTTCAGGGCCGAAGAGATTACCAGAGTTGATAGTTGTGCTCGCTATACCTTTTTGACCTCAGCTGGCTCTGGCTTCCACCTCTCAAAATTCAACATATAATGGCAGAGAAAACAGTTCAACTACTTATGTCCAAGTGTGCACATCCTCATGTCACTCTGAATTTGTAGTTTGAAATGTAGTTGCAAACAGACAAAAATCTAATAGATCCAGTTTCTTTCCAGATCTTCTGATGATCACAGTTGGATCTATGCTATATTTGGGGCAAAACCTTTGCACAATATCCAGCTGACTTCCATACCGTAATAGTTTTCTAAATTAGGACAATGTAAAAGAATTACACAATTGTTTCAGTCCATCATGTGTGCACCTGCTCTCTGACCGTTTTGACTTAATGTCATTGTCCTGCCTCCTCCATACTCCTGCATATTGTTCTTATTTGAATAATCATCGAATGCCTTCACTTGAATGCTTCAGTTGAAGCTTCTTCCACCAAAACTTGGCAGATGGAGTTTAATGCAGGAGTGTGTTGAGTTCATGCACTTTGGTAGGAAAAATTAAATCATAGAATAGTATTTAAATAGAAAGAGATTACAAAAATGGTGCAGTGCAGAGGGATGTGTATGTTCTTGTGCATGAAACACAAGAGTGTGCAGATACAGCAATTAATTAAGGCAAATTAAATTTTGGCCTTTGTTGCTAAGGAGTTGGAGTATAAAAATAGGGAAACCTTGTTACAAGGCATTGTTGCAGGGCATTGGTGAGGCTACACCTGGCGTACTGTGTATGGTTTTAGTCCTCATATTTAAGAAAATATGTGTTAGTATTGGGGGCAGTTCAAATAAGACTCACTAAGCTGATTCCTGGGTCAGAAAGGTTGACTTAGGAAGAACATCAGATATTTATTTCTTAGAGTTTTGAAGATTGAAAGGTGATGTTTTTGAGACTTACCAGATTCTGAGGGAGATTGACAGGGTAGGTATTGAAAAGATGTTTCTAAGAGTGAGAAGATCTTGAACTAATGGATATAGTTACTGACTAAAGGGGACAGCCATTTAAAACTGAGATACAAATTAATTTCTTCTCCCAGAGGATAGTGTTTGTCTGGAATTCTTGACTGAGAGAACTGTGGAGGTTAGATCAATGAGAGTATTTAAAGAGCTGGGAGATGGATTTTTGAAACATTGGGGAGTTGATGGCTGTATTGAGCTGTCCCAAAAGAGTAGCTGAGGCCTGAGGCATATCAGTCATGATCTGCTGAATGGTTGGGCAGTCTTGAGGGTATACTCCTGCTCCTATTTTTATGTTCGTACATTTGTTTATTTTCTTATTTGAGCCCTGAACAACTTGCTTGTGAGAAAGTTTTATCTTATCTTGCATTTGTCAGCCTTGCTAATGTTCTAGCTTGTCAATCCCCAAAACACAAACCTATTTAATGTAGAGCAAAAGACTATAAGATACAGAAGCAGAAGCAGGCCATTCAGTCCATAGGGTCTGCTCCACCATGACATGGCTGATCTGATAATCCTCAAATCTACTCTCTTGCCTTTTCCACATGATCCGTGACTCTTCTACTGATTAAAAATCTGTTTATCTCAGCCTTGAAAGTACTTAAAGACCCAACCTCTATAGCCCTATGCAGTAAAGAATTCCATAAATTTGCTCCCTGAAAGAGAAGAAATTCTTTCTCATCTCTGTTTTAAAGGGGTGACCCAGTTTGCAATTAAGCCCCACGGTCCTCCCACAAAGGAGAAAAAAACCTTTCTGCATCTACCTTGTCAAGTCTCCTAAGAATCTTTTATTGTTCAGTGAGGTCACATCTCATTCTTCTAAACTCCAATGAGTACAGGCCAACCTACTCAACCTCTCTTCATAAGACAGATCCGTAAAGGGGATCAAACTCGTGAACTTCCTCCAGACTGTCTCCTTAGATCATTCCTTAGATAAGGTGTTTAAAACTGCACATTAGCTATGTAGAGTTTCAGAAAGACCTCCCTATTTTTATATTCCATTCCCTTTGAAATAAATGCCAACCTTATATTGCCTTCCCTGTCACCCACTGAACTTGCATGCCAACTTTTTGAAATTTATGCTCAAGGACTTTCAAATCCCTCTGTGCTAATCTTTTTACAGTCTTTCTCCATTTAAATAATATTCTGCTCTCCTATTCTTCATGATGAAGTGCATAACCTCACATTTTGCCACATTTCATCTGCCAAGTTTTTATCCATTCACTTAACCTGTCCTTTTTCCTCCGTAGACACTTTGTGTCATCCTTATCAGTTGTCCTCCCAGCTATTTTTGGATCATCTGAAAACTCATTTATACTACATTCACTTTCCTGATCCAAGTCATTTATATATTGCAAATAATTGCAGCCACAGTGCTGATCCATGTGGTACTCCACTAATCATAGGTTGCAATCATGAAAATGTCCCCCCTTATCTCAACTCTGTGTCTTCTCTTAGTCAGCCAATTCTCAATCCATGCTCATACACTACCTCCAACACATGGGTTCTTATCTTACTAGTTAAATTATCATGTGGTACCTTATGATATGCTTTCTGAAAATCCATATATATCACATCTACTGCTTCTTCTTTATCTATCCTGCTCTTTACCTCCTCAAAGAATTCTAATGAGTTTGTCGAGTATGATTTCCCGTTCATAAAGCCATGGTGACTCTGCTTGATCATATTATGTATTTTGAAATGCTATGCTAATACATCCTTCATAATAGACTCAAACATTTTCTCAATAACAGACATTAAGCTAACTGACTCAAAGCTACCTGTTTCTTTTCTGGCTCCTTCCCCTAATAAGTAAAGGTACAACATTGGCAGTTCTCCAATTTTTCGGGAAATTTCCAGCATCCAAGGATTCTTGGAATATTACTACCAGTGTATTCATTATCTCTATAGGTTTAATATTCTAGGATACACCCCATCATGTACAAGGGATGTATCAGTCTCTGGCCCCATTAGTTTCCTTACCACCTTTTCTCTCGTCACAGTTATTGCATTTATTTCCTTTCCTCCTTTTGCCCCTGGATTATTTAATATTTTTGGAATGATATTAATGTCTTCTACTGTGAAGATTAATGCAAAATATTTTGTCTATGCCTCTGCTATTTCTTGGTTCCCCATTGTTATTCCCCAAACTCATTCCCTAAGGGGCCAATGTTAATTTCGGCCTTTCTCTTCCTTTTCATATATTTAGGAAGTTTTTGTTGTCCATCTTGATATTGTGTATAGTTTTACCATCAAAGATTATATTATCTCTCTTTTTGTTTGGTTGTCTCCTTTGTTCGTTGTCCATTGTTAGTTTCTATACCTTTCCCAATTCTTTGGTTTACCACTAATCTTTGCCACATTTGATGGCTTGTCTCTCAAAATGATGTATGGCACATCATTTTTCCCAAACGTTATGAAGAAAATAACTGATGAAAACAATGAGTTTTTAATATTTTTCAATACTAATGACTCTGGTCACATTCACAATTAACAGTTCTCAGCTATATAAGACCATAACATAAAGGAGCAGAATTAGGCCAGTCAGTCCATCGAGTCTGCTCTGACATTCAATCATGACTGATATGTTTCTCAACTCCATTCTCTTGCCTTTCCCATAACCCTTGATCCCGTTACCAAACAAGGATCTATCTATCTCTGTCCTAAGTATACTCAATGACTTACCTTCCACAGCCTTCTGTGACAATGAGGTCCACAGATTCACCACATTCGGGGTGAAGAAATTCTTTCTCATCTCAGTTCTGAAGGGTTGTCCTTTCATTCAAGCTGTGTCCTTGGTCCTAGTCTCTCCAATTAGTAGAAACATCTCCATGTCCGCTTTATCCAGGCCTCTGAGTATTCTGTAAGTTTCAATGAGTACCCCCCTCAACCTTCTAGACTCTATCAAGTATAGACCCAGAGTCCGCAAACCCTCCTCATATAGTAAATGCTTCAATCACAGGATCATTCTTGTGGAATCTCCTTTGAACCCTCTCCAAGGTCAAGACATCCTTCCTTAGATATGGGGCCCAAGCTTCCCACAATGTTCCAAATGTAGTCTGACCAGAGCCTTGTACAGTCTCAGCAGTACATCCTTGCTCTCGTATTCTAGCTACCTTGAAATGAATGCTAACATTGCATTTTCCTTCTGAACTGCCACCTGAACCTGCATACTAACCTTAAGAGAGTCCTGAACTAGGACTCCCAAGTCTCTTTGTGCTTCAGATTTCCAAAGCTTTTCCTCATTAAGAAAAATTGACTATGCCTCTATTATTATTATCCAAATGTATGACCTCAAACTTTTCCACACTGTATTCCATCTGCCATTTCTTTGCTCACTCTCCTAGCTTGTCCAAGTCCTTCTGTAGCCTTCCCATTTCCTCAACCCTTCCCGTCTTTCCACATATCTTTGTGTCATCTGAAAACAGAGATAAAAATGTCCTTAGCTATTTCATCTAGATCATTATTTTATAACGTGAATAGTTGTGGTCCCAATGTGGACCCCTGCAGAACTCCATTTGTCACCGTCTGCCATCCTGAAAAAGGTCCTTTATCCCTTCTCTCTGCCTTCTGCTAGTCAGCCAATCCTCTATCCGTGCCAGTCCCTTTCCCCTAACACCAAGGACTCTTATCTTATTTAGCAGCCTCCCAAACAGCACCTTGTCAAAGGTGCCCTTAACAGTGACTTTCAATATTTAATAAGGTCAGTTCAAAGAACAGAGTAACAATAGCAACACTCACCTGCTCTGATGTGTAAGCCACTAGCTTTGAAATGACCGAGACTTCTTCAAGATCAGGATACTTTTCTTGCATTTGTGTAATCATCTTCTTTTTTGCAGCAAGAAGCGCCACAAGTGTACTTTCACTGGCTGTGCCCTAAATAAAAAAAATAAGGATCATGATTTTGTTGCAGTTAAACAGTTATACATTTCACAGTTTGGCTCCTTGGATCATGGTAGCCATGCAAGAAATACCATTTAGGCTTTAAATAGCATTACTTGTACACTTTGCCAACTATACTTACATCCTACGATCAAATCAAAAACAATATGCATACATTCAAAGATGAGTAGGCTAGGTGGATCGGTCATGCTAAATTGCCCAGTGTTCAGGGATGTGCAGATTAAGTAGGCTGCAGGGAGATGGGTCTGGATGGGATGCTCTGAGGGTCGGTGTGGACTTTTTGGGCTGAAGGGCCTATTTCCACACTGCAGGGATTCTAAAATTCTATGATCTGGTGTAAGCTGCGTTAGACATCAATTTGTTAACGTTGTTCATGGATATTCAGGGGATTCCATCTGAAGTATGCAGAGCTGGAAGATTATAACATGCATCAATTGATCATACTTATTTGATGCTTGCACTGCTATCTCCAGCCAATACCCTCTATTACTTTTGTATAAGTGAAGATGCACTGAACAGCAAAAAGGTCTCCAAACCAGTATTTTTTTAACCTACTTCAAACCAGTATTATTTAGGTAGATTGTTCATTACTTTCAGGTGGATGGAACAGTATGGAAGCAGGCCATTTGGCCCATCAAATCCACTCTGACCTTCCGAAGACCATCCCACCCAAATCTACACCCTCTAACCCTACATTTCCCATGGCTAATCCACCTAACCTACACATCCCTGGACACTATGGGCAATTTAGCATGGCCAATCCACCTAAGCTGCACTTCTTTGGACTGTGGGAGGAAACCAAAGCACCCAGAAAGAACCCATGCAGACATGGGGAAAACATACAAATTCCACATAGACAGTCGCTTGAGGCTGGAATCAAACCTGGGTCCCTGGCACTGTGAGGCAACAGTGCTAACTGTTGAGTTACCGTGCGGCACTAAGTTAGTGGCTGACTATTTTCTATTGGCTGTTATTGATGTTGTGAAAATGGTTAGTGGTTTCTGAAATTGTTTAAACTTGCTCAAGTATACAGAAATTGGCATGATGCATGCTGAAAGACATTTCCCTGACTTCAAAGATTCCAAGCAGATCACTCCATGTTTAAACTTTCTTATATTTTAATTACCTAATATGTCATTACAGATTGAAGAAATGGAAATAAATTTTCACTTGTTGCAGAACATAAAAATTAGTAAACAAACTTACATTATTTATATTTGTCTTAGCACATACATGCAGAAGTTCCTCAGGACTATGTCCCATAAGAATGTAAGAAGTAGGAGCAGGAGGAAGCCATCTCACCCATCGAGCCTGCTCTGCCATTCAATAAGGTCATGGCTGATATTTTCGTGGACTTAGCTCCACTTACGCCCCTGCTCACCATAACCTTTAATTTCTTTATTGTTCAAAAATCTATATTTGCCTTAAAAACATTCAATGAGGTTGTCTTAATTGCTTCACTGGGCAGGGAATTCCACAGATTCACCACCCTTTGGGTGATGATGTTCCTCCTCAACTCAGTCCTCAATCTGCTCCCCTTATTTTGAGACTGTGCCCCCTAATTCTAGTTTCACCTGCCAGTGGAAACAACCTCCCTGCTTCTCTCCTATCTATTTCCTTCATAATTTTATATCTTTCTATTAGAACCCCCTCATCCTTCTAAATTCCAACGAGTACAGTCCCAGTCTACTCAATCTCTCCTCATAAGGCAACCTTCTCAACTCTGGAATCAGCCTAGTGAACCACCTCTGCACCCCTTCCAGTGTCAGTACATCCTTGCACAAGTAAGGAGACCAAAGCTGTACACAGTACTCCAGGTGTGACCTCACCAGTACCCTATACAGCTGTAGCATAACCTCCCTGTTTTTAAACTCCATCCCTCTAGCAATGAAGGACAATATTCCATTTGCCTTCTTAATTACCTGCTGTACATGCAAACCAACATTTTGTGATTCATGCACGAGGACACCCAGGTCCCTCTGCACAGCAGCGTGCTACAATTTTTCACTATTTAAATATTATTCCATTTTGCTGTTATTTCTACCAAAATGGATGACCTCACATTTACCAACATTGTACTCCATCTGCCAGACCCTTGTCCACTTAATTAACATATCTAAATCCCTCTGCAGAATTTCAGTATCTTCTGCACACTTTGCACTATCACTTATTTTGTTTTAGTGTCATCTGTGAACTTTGACACACAATATTTGGTCCCCAACTCCAAATCATCTATGTAAACTGCAAACAACTGTCGTCCCAACACTGATATCCACTAGCCACTGATCGTCAACCAGAAAAACACCATTTATCCCCACTCTTTGCTTTCTGTTAGTTAACCAATCTTCTATCCATGCTAATACATTATCCATAACGCCGTGCACCTTTATCTTATGCAGCAGCCTTTTGAGCAGTACCTTGTCAAATGCCTTCTGGAAATCCAGATACACCACATCCACTGGATCCCCATTGTCCACTACGCTCCTAATGTCCTCAAAGAATTCCAGTTAATTAGTTAAACATGACCCGCCTTTCATGAACCCATGCTGCATCTGCCCAATGGGACAATTTCAATCCAGATGTCTCGCTATTTCTTCCTTGATTATAGATTCAAGCATTTTCCCCACTACAGAAGTTAAACTAATGAGCTATACTTACCTGCCTTTTGTTTGCCTCCTTTCCTAAACAGTGGCATCACATTTGCTGTTTTCCAATCTGCCAGAACAACCCCAGAGTCCTGAGAATTTTGGTGACTGACCACGAGTGCATTTGCTATTTCTCCCACCATCTCTTTTAGTACCCTGGGATGCATTCCATCAGGGCAATGAGACTTGCCTACCTTTAGTCCCATTAGCTTGCCCAATACAACCTCTTTAGTGATAATAATTGTTTCTAGGTCCTCATCTGCCATAGGCTCCATGACATCGATTATTGACATGTTTTTTGGGTCTTCCACGGTGAAGACTGACACAAAATACGTATTCAATGCCTCAACCATTTCCTCATTTCCCATTATTAAATCCCCTTTCTTATCCTCTAAAGGACCAATGTTTACCTTAGCCACAAGTTTTCGTTTTATATATTTGTAGAAAATTTACCATCTGTTTTTATATTCTGAGCTAGCTGACTCTCATAATCCATTTTACTTTTCTTTATAGCTGTTTTCGTGGCTTTCTGTTGCCTTTAAAGATTTTCCAATACCCTAGTTTCCCACTAATCTTTGCCACTTTTTATGCAATTGCTTTTAATTTGATGCCCTCCTTTTCAGTTCCTTAGTTATCCATGGCTGATTTTCCCTTTTTCTCGTACTTCCTTCTCAATGGTATACACTTTTACTGATCACTGTGAAAAATCACGTTGAAAGTTCTCCACATAGCCTTTGCTCCGAGTCTACCTTAGCCAACTCCTCCCTCATCCCATTGTAGTCTCCTTTGTTTAAGCACAAGATACTAGTATCGGATTTTTTCTTCTCACCCTCCAACTGTATTTTAAATTCAAGCATACTATGATCGGTCCTTCCGAAAGCATCCCTAACTATGAGATAACAACCGAAAGAACTGTGGATGCTGTAAATCAGTAACAAAAACAAAGTTGCCGGAAAAGCTCAGCAGGTCTGGCAGCATCTGTGAAGAAAAAAATCAGAGTTAACGTTTCGGGTCCGGTGACCCTTCTTCTGAGGAACTTGGTTTTAGTTCCCAGTTGTGAGATCATCAATTATTCCTGTCTCATTATACAAGATCAGATCTATTTTAGCTTGCTCCCTCGTAGGTTCCATTACATACTGTTCAAGGAAACTATCGTGGTTACATTCAATGAACTCCTCCTCAAGGCTGCCTTGACCAACTTATACCCGTCCACGATGATTGTGCCGTCAATTCATTTATCTTGTTTTGAATCCTGTGAGCAATCAGGTAAAGCGCCGTTATGCTAGTTTTTATACCTTCTTTTTGAATCCTAATACCCCCATTCGAAGAACCTTAGTTTTCAAACATTCTTACTTTTTCTGTCATTAGCTGGTTTCCACTCATCTTAGTGCTACACTGCTCAGCTGGTTCTTGCTTTTTATTAGCTGTATTGATTCTGTTTTTCCTCAAGTTCTCACCCACTCTAGCTAGCTCAGATCTTCCCCTTAGGTTATTATTCCCCTGCCAAACTAGGTTAAAATCCACCTAACAGTGCTAGCAAAACCACCCGCTAGAATATTGGTCCTGTCACTATTTGGGTGAAGACCGTCCCTCTTGAACACGTCCCCACCTTCCCCAGAAATGGTCCCAGTTACTAGGAAATCTAAAGTCCTCCCTCCTACACCACTCCCCCAGGCATGTACTAAACTGCCTAATCTGCTGATTCCTAGCCTCACTAGCACATGGCTCAGGTAGTAACCCGGAGATTACTACCTCTGATGTCCTAGCTTTCAAGCTGGCTCTTAACTCCCTAAATTCAGCCTTCAGGTTCTCATCCCTCTTCCTACCTATGTCATTGTTACCAACGTGTACCACAACCACAAAGGGTGCTGGTTCCCTTTCTCCCGCACACCTCTCGCCACCCCCTCCTCAAAAAAAAAATGCCCCTCGCCGCTCAGTAACCTGCAGAACCCTTGCACCAGGGAGGCACCACACCATCCTGTTGTCACTAGTGCAGCTACAGAAGCGCCTCTCTGTTCCCCTAACGATTGAGTTTCCTATCACTACAGTTCTAACTGCCTTTTCCTCCCCACTCTGTGCAACTGAGCAACCTACAGCAGTTTTGCTTTGGCTGCAATTCCCTGAGGCATTATCGGAACTCAGCACAACGTACCACTTGGCTATTAGGATGGCCTTAGAGGACTCCTGCACCACCTGCCTCACCTTATGCTGAAGGATGTCTAGCCGTCCTTTTTTTACTTCATCAATGATTTTTTTGCCGACATAAGGCCAGAAGTAGGGATCTTTGTTGATGTTTTCACAATTTCATTACTATTTGGAATTGTTTAA